TTTAGATTGGTTTATATGGCTTGCTAAGCTGTTGTAGCTCATTATGGTTTTACTTTTGGTTTTCAAGACTTGGTAAGGGGAAAGAGGTTGTGGACTAGTTGTTTAGGATCAGATCTGATGTCATAGGCATTTTGCTATTTTGATTTTTATACAGTCATCATGACTAGTTTAATTTTCAGTTCTGTAGCTCTTGTTTGTTGTTGACCTCGTTTTTGTCCTGATTAGCCCTCAGGCGCATTTGATCGATTTGATCGGGCCTCGTCGTGCTTGATTCAAGTCGAATTTATGTATAAGTTTTTCATTATTTGGTTATTTTATTAGCTATGTGGTTCATCATTATTTCAATGAATATCGGCAGAAAATTTGAAATAATTCAAAAATTAGATATTGGGGTTTGTCTGTCACAGGTCAACACGATAGGACTTGTCCTGATATGGTTGGGTTTTGACAACTAGTTCGCACCCCTACAACCAAGGATGTGAGGAAATACCGAGCGGTGCCACAAGGTGCAAAGAAATGGATGAACTAATGAATTTCACGATGAAGAAAAAGACATTGGGGTATTTCACAAGGTCATTTACATCTTCGTATTACCTTCGAATAGTAGGAAATAGAGAATACAGGAGTCTATCTCAGGATGGGAAAAGTAATTACGTGATGCAAAAAGTTTGAGAATGGAGCACGACCTCATGACCTCAAAACTCCATTGCGTTTCTTGACATACAACAACAAAAACATCATCCCAAATGCATCCTAAGTCTTGCCCAAATTATAACACAATCCTCATAGGTATTCAATGCACTAGGCCTGTCTGAGTTCTCTCACTTAACAATAGGTTATTTGAATTTACTTAAATATTTACTTAAAATAAGTCATCATCTTTTTTGTCATTTAATTTAAAAGAGTTATGAATAATGTAATGATTAAACATTTCTTACAAATATTTTTATAAGTTATTTTCTCACCAATGCTTGAGGAGATGCAAAAGAGTAATAATATTTTTTAATAAATTTTTTTATTATTGGATATTTTTTATAATTTTTTGCACATTAATGGCCTTTTAAAATGTTTTTGCAATTTCATAAAAAAACCTAAACAATTCATTTCTTAAAGAAAGGGCCAAAAGCTGCAACAACATGCTTGATGAATGCTTAGCTTTTTATAAATTTTTAATAATTTTTAACACATTAATGGCCTTTTAAAATGTTTTTGCAATTTCATAAAAAAATTTAAGCATTTCATTTCTTAAAGAAAAGGCCAAAAGCTACAACAACAAGCTTGATGAATGCCTAGTGCATGTACAACATGTGCCCAAAAATCATGAAAAGGGCACTCCAACCAACATCAGTTCTATCGACGTGCTGATAGCTAACTACCCTGGTTCACAGGGACGGATCCAACTTCTTTTTCAGGGTGGACAAAAAAAAATGTTTTGATAGGGGATGGACAAAGACGCTTAGGATTAATAAAATTATGACAATTTTTTTTTGAGAAGGGGCAAAATGCCCAAAACACTCAAAATATTTTAAAAGATTTTTTTTTTTTTTTTTTGAGGGTGGGCATTTGCCCCCTCAACATAAAGGGGATCCGCCCATGCTTGTTCACCCAACGGACGTTTTTGCCTATAAATTTTTTTTTAATTATTTTTTGCTGTTATATATATATCCTACAATTAATTTCAAGCTATTTTGATGAGCTTTAAAAAAAGTTTTAAGAAAAAAATTCTTGAATTAATGCATCAACTTTTGAAATGCTAAAATTATAATTGAGGAAATTTACATTGATTTATGGAACTAAGTGGAGGTTAGTATAAACATTTATGGAGTGGTCAGACTTTATAATTTATTTATAATATAATTTTTAAGGATTTATATACATATCATTTTATTTCATGCTATTTATATATCTAACACCTAAAATTTTAATATTATACGCCACCACTAATATAAAGTTTTAAAATAAAATATACCTCTCTTATATTTCATTCTTATCGCCCATACCACCCTATAAAATTTAATATTTCATTTCATACACCCATATTTGTTCTATAGGTGATAGGCATGTCATATTAAAGTTTTAGGTATTATATATGTAAATAGTATGAAATAAAGTTGTATGTATGTAGATCCCCTATAATTTTATGCCATAAATTTTTCTTAAGGACCTAAAATATTTTTGAAAAACAAAGATTTTAACTTTAAAAATTGGGGGCAAACGATATGTCATAAAAAATTATACTTGATTAAGCACAAATCTCGATACAATATTTGAATTTAGAGATTTTAAATTTAAGTTAACAATCATCAATTTGTATTTTTTTTATTTTTATAAGTTTAACATTGATTTGTGCTTCGAAATTTGAATTCAACAAACTTTAATAAAACTAAACGTTTCAATGAGGTAAACCTAATGATAGCAAAAATTGCTTCAAAGTTTTTTATTATTAATTGACTAAATGATATCTAAATCTTATAAAATTACTGTATAAATGAGCATCTCAAGAAGTAATCAACCAAACTTAAAACTATTCAAATTTTAAGATCATGAAAACACTTAAATAATGAATGAAGGGTTTTATTAAATTATGTTGAGATGTTGGCTTAAATTGTATAGTTCTATGTTCTCGAACTTAAGTTAAATTTGAGGGGAATTTAGACAATAAATGATTTTCTTAATGTCAAGTGAGCTCAGTGTTCTCCACGTGTGAGTTATTGTGTCTCTTCCTCCTTATTTGGCAGACGCTTTGCCGCCTCCATTGCTAACAAATAAAACCAAAATGACCTAAACTTTTAATTTCTTATAACAAAGAGGCAAAAAGCTTACACGCAACTTCATGCAAAAGGCACAGCTTTTATGCTTACCGCTCATCTAACATTTAAAGCAGTCAAAGAAAAATCTTCAGGATTATTGCATAAATGGAACGTGGCATCCAGTAGCCTGAAGATTATTTTTGAGATTTCACACTTAACCTTAAAGAAATTTCTATTAACTAATTAAAGCTATAGATGGTGGATCAAAAGTCCTAATTAGCTACACAAAGCATTTAATCGAACCAAAAAAAGGATAGGGTTGGAGCGAGCCGATTTTGAGCCAAATTCACAGACTTCAGATAAAATCTATATAAGCAAGCACAAAATCAGCTTCTTGCCCATATTTTTTTTGGGGACGGGTCATCTACCCGCTGTCACTTTAAAGAGAGTTCATGACGGCGTAACTAAACACTCGGCAGAACCTAGCGAGGCCACCCACCGGTATCGAGCCTTAGGGGCGTCAATTTCGGGTCACGGTTCGGGTTCCAGTCCAACCTGAAACTGACCTGATAATATGCGGGTCAACCCAAGCCTGCCCGTTTTGACAAACTGGTCAATTTTTAGGACCCAAACCTGACCCGTTTTGGGTCCAAGGCAACCCAACACGACCCGAATCATCCGGGATGGACAAAAAATTGTTCGTTTTAGGATAGAAAAAATGGACAATCTCCGCTTTTCGGATCAAAAGCGGGTAAAAAATGGGTCAATCTCGGATTCGGGTAATAAACAACTAAATTTTAGCTTACTGGTTCAGCCAGAATCCGACTCGGTTTTTTAAACGGGTCGATTTGTTGAACCCGAACCGACCTGTTTCGGATCCGAGTAGACCCTAACTAGGAATTTTCGGGTCGGGTTTGAGTCGGGTTTTCGAGTCATGTTAATTATTGACACCTCTATTGAGCTTGCATTTGCTTTGCCCCACTTAAGAGATGAGGCCGTAGTTGGGGAGATTTGAATCCAGGATGGGGTTCCCAACCGTGCTCGTCCACCTTGTTTCATTTTTCTATCATCTAAGCTCAAATCAAACACAATATTTAACCTGGTCGTATTTGAATTGAGCCGGCTGAAAATAACTTATTTTTCATTGACAGCCAAAAATTTACTGTTCATTTAACTCAATTGAGCTCAATCTAAACTAAAAATTAATTTAGCCATCAATCAATATTAGATTTAAAGCTAAAAATTTCAACTAAACGAGAAGCTCCAATACAAGCAACGAGATAACCCTCAGTACTAATGCATTAATACATAATCGGTCATTTCCATTTCCATTGCAGTCATCATAAAACGGGACTCGACTGATAAAGACTGCAATTTTTATTCAAACGGAACCTTCATTTTCAAAGTCTCCCCTAAGTCGCTATGCCATTTATATTCTGCCCCACCCTATGAAACCTACAACCCAACGCACCGTTTTTTTTTTTTTTTTCATTTGAGCCATTAAATCAGATCATATATCACATATATAAACTTCAAATTCAAAATCTTTTAATTTATAATCAAAATTCTAGGCCAACACATCAAGATAATTAGGATACTTTAATTATTCCTTTTCATGTATTGAATCTTTTTCACGACTCGATAAATAATTTAATAAGTCAATGATTTTTTTCTATGTTTCAGAATACGGTTAACCGACACATTAACTAATCGGTTACGATAAATTGGATCAAATTTTGTAATTTTTTTCTTCTGCAGTACCTCGACGTGATATAAGCGACTGAGCTTGAAAGAGCTTCAAGAATCAGTTTTCTTTTGATAGGGGCTAAACATGAATAACTTATTTTGGCTTTTTGACCCCATATTGTAGGGTGGATTTCAAAAGATATGAAAAATCTCCCTCCAAGCCGTACATACGACTTTCATCGAATACGGCTTTCCACAGAATTCTATATGTATCTATAAGATCGAGTATGGAATTCTGTTTACTCACTTTCACTTTAAATTGAGTATCCGTTTCCCTCCTTTTCCTGCTAGGATATGTATAACATGAAGAAAACTAATTGCTGCCATTATATAGTGTCTCCTCCGGTCAGGCATATCCATGTAGAATACAAATATACCAATTATCTTTAAGAAAAACTTAATATATGTTCTTTTTTTAGGGGGGGAAATACTTTTTTTCACGCATTTGATTTTAGGAATATTTTTTTTTTGGGCATATATCTAAAGAAATTAAAGAAAAAGAAATTAAAGAAGAAGATATGAAATATTATACATGCATAAAAATAGTAATCATCGAGGATAAAGTTTCCGTATCTAAGCGATGCATCGTGCATGAATAACAATTGGGACAAACGCGTGCGCGGTATTCGTGTGGAGTATAGCAGAACGAGCGGCCGCAATTAATTTAAATTACACAACCGTAGAGAACACGAATGGGGTGGCTGCCTCATCTGTCGCCGTCATCCCACCCGTAGTGCCACCGTTAGGACTGAAGCTTAATGGCCAAGAAACCTTCTCGAAAGAAGAAGATGGGTAAGAGTGCACGAAATCTTCAAATCCCACCTCATAGAAATGCCCGCCGGCAGGCGGCGAGCTTGGAAGCTCAGGCACACCTGACGGATCCCCGTCCTCAAAAAACCTTACCACATCCCTCATCGCAGGTCTCGCTGCCGGTAAGGGATGCGAGCACATCATACCCACCCTGAAAGACACCTCCACCTCGGCGTCGTCGAACTCGCCGGCGAGACGCGAGTCCACCGCTTCTCTCCACTTTCCTGCCGTCCACTTCTCCCACACTAAATCGACCAATACTAGCTCGTCCTGTAAAGCCTTGGGCTCTATCGGTCGCCGCCCGCACACCACTTCAAGCACTAGCGCCCCGAAGGCGAAGACGTCGGTGGCAGTTGTGGCCTTACCTGTTCGCGTCAACTCCGGCGCGAGGTAACCAAGCGTTCCCACCACCCGCGTCGTGCTCGGGTTCGCCCCGCGCTCGTAGAGCTTGGCGAGGCCAAAGTCGCCGAGGCGGCCATTGAGCTCTCCATCAAGGAGGACGTTGCTAGCCTTAACGTCGCGGTGGAGGACGACGCTCTCCCATTCCTCGTGGAGATAGAGCAGGGCTGCCGCCACGCTGCGAATGACGCGGAAGCGAATCGACCACGGGAGTAGCGGCGTTGTCGCATCTCCGCTAAATAGGTATTTGTCGAGGCTTCCGTTGGGCATATAGTCGTAGACTAAGAGGAGATCGGCCCGCCGCCGACACCAGCCCTGCATCCGGACAAGGTTGCGATGGCGAAGCCGGCCTATGCTGGCAATCTCTGCCACGAATTCGCGCAACCCTTGTTTGGATTCGTGGGAGACTCGCTTCACTGCGACCTCTTCTTTCGTCCCGGGAAGAACTCCTCTGTAAACTTTGCCGAACCCGCCCTGTCCTAGAAGCTCTTTCTCTCTGAACCTCTTGGTGGCGTACTTGAGCTCCTTGTAGGAAAAACGATGCGGGCCCGTAACGAGCTCCCAGTCCTCGATGACATCAGCGGTTTTTATCTTGTATATAAGGTAGCCGGCGGTGGCGAGGGCCGCGATGAGGAAAAGCAGAGCGGAAACAGGGGCAGCAATGAGCAAGGCGTAGTTTTTCTTCTTGGGCTTCGGTAGTGATGGAAGAGAGGAGAGATCTAGCGATTTGGCCACCCCGTTCATCTTAAAGTTCCAGCCAAATAAATAATGGGAACTGGCGAGCAGTCCCGTTGACGCCGAGAAACCAACATACATCTCGTTAAGAAAAATCGGGGACAAATCAACAGCGTAAGAAATAATTGGATTAGCAGGTTTTGTTGAAGTGTTAGCGAGCCATACGTCGAGCACCTTGCGTGCGGAATCGTAGTCAACCCAAACTTGAGTAGTGTCACCGCTTTTGAGATTCACAGAGGCGGGAACGGACTTATTAGAGGCTAGATTGTTAAGATCAATCCCGACGTGGTTGTCGTTGATGTCCCCGAACTCAAAGTCCTGCACAGTATCAAATTCGACGGCAAATAGGTGGTTGGAGGCGTTGCCGATGTTTTTGGCGTTGAGGAGGCCGAGGTACTGGCTAGGGAGGGCATCAGGAAGGGAACTGGAGTTGGCGATGGTGAAGGCGAGGCCATGGCCGCCGAGCTTGGGATATTCCGGGACGATGGCGAAGGCGAAGGTGGTAGAGAAGGAGAAGAGGTAGCCGTCAGTGGAGTTCTTGAAACGGATGGGGACGCGGTAGAATGCGTGGCCGATGAGACGGCGAGTATCGTTAGTGAGCCGGAGGATGCCGTCGTTATCGACCTCGGCGATGCCACTGAGGGCTATGTTGCCGTTACTGTTGCCGGAGTTGAAGCCGGAGAATTCGAACTCTTCGCGTTGGGCGAGTGCTGAGAGGAGTGAGAGGGAGGACAGGAAGAGGATGAAGAATGTTTTAGACATTATTAAGAAAAAAGAAATTTTTGCTTTGAGTTGGTATGGATGGTTAAGGTTTTGTAGGAAGATATTTGGTGTGATGTAAATTATTGTTCCTCTTGGATTTATTAATGCTACCTACACTTCAACTAAATTTTTTGGGACCCTAAATTATGTAGACGAACGACGCAATATTCTTCGTTGATTTGGATACTTACAGCGCTAGTTCCTAAAAATCATATTATCCCACTTATAATTTCAAATTATTTAGCTACTTTGCGGTACGAATGGGAAAAAAATTATATTAAGAGTACATTTGTGGCGAATATAGTTTTTATAAAGATAATTATAAAGTATTATGTATTTTTTTTAAGTTTTGGCATGAATTAATTTTTTAGTATAAAATTTTTTTATGATAAAATAAAATTATAATTATTATCTTAAAAATAAAATAGTGAAAAAATTATCTCAAATGAAGCCTCCCATGATTTTTTTAATTCTTCTTTAAAAAAAAAATTTAGTTAAAAAATTAATTTTTGGTAATAAAATTTTATTTTAAGAAGCAATAAAAAAAGTTATTCCAAACAAAACCTTAATGTCATAATACATGGGTCTAGACGAGATTAGTTTGAGAAAGTTTTTTATTTAAGTGATTAATTCATTAAAATTATGAAAAAATATTAAAAAATTATGATATAAATTATAATATAATAAAGTTAATTATTTTAAATTATTTTAAATAGAAGAAATTTATATTATATTAATTTAAAAATAAATTTAATAATTTTTAACATTATAATTTAAATTAAGATATTTTAACACAATTTTTATTCAAATTAGGTTGAAAATTTTTAATAATATCTCATTTAAAATGTTTAGCAAAAATTTATATCAAAGAGGGGGAAATTTTTTATATGGGATCAAATTTGAATTTGCATAGAAAATTGTATATGACAAGCAAATTAACGAGAAATTATTCTGTTCGGACATTGAGTTGTCTAGAGACCAACCAGAAAGCACTAAATCACCTGATACGAATGATAACGAGCATCGATAGTGAGCAAAAAAATGATGTGACATATTCTGGTTAATCTCGGAACTCCGGCATCCATTATCTGCATAGAATAATTTCTCCAAATTAACAGACAGTATCAAATAAGCATCTTTCTTTGAGATTAATGAAAATGGAGTGATCTTCCTTTAAATCCCCATATAAATTTTGCTCTTGAATTGTGCTAGGTATCTTCTAATTATGTTAATGATGGAACTTTTTTTTTTTTTTTTTTTTTTGGAAAATTTTTTTTTTTTTTTGGCAAAAAAGAAACATTAGAACGCTTTTCTACGGCTACGCATGATATTTATCCTCGGGATGTGATGGCAATAAATATCCTCCAGCTTAAAATTTTTAAATAATTTCTTCTACTGAGAAAATCTCTCAACATTGCTCAGATATAAAGTTTTTGGTCTGGCTAAGGACTCTGAAAGACGAGGAGGAGGAAAATTCAGAGAGGGCTGTTGAGCAGGACGAGAAAAGTGCTCGAAGGTGCTCTAGATTAACTGACCAAGGCGATCTTTCATATTTTAGAGCAAGTACAACGTAACAATCTTCTAGACAAGAGGAAGAGTACAAGAGAGAGAGAGCCGGTCAAAGATTGAGATTTAGGAGCAAGGACGGTGCAAGGCATGCATGTCATTAGCTGAAAATAATAATAATAATAAACTATTTTGATGACCTAATAAGTAGTTAACTCTGCCAGGCTAATGGTAAGCGGTTTATGTAACTTGTTAGCTTTATAGAATTCTAACCGGGGCAACATTGGTTAGGAAATTATAGTTATAAATTATTGTTAGAAATGATGGTCAAGTGTCACGATCCAATCCAACAAGAATCACTTATGTGATAGGTCATATTGTATTGATGTGTGACATGTTAATCTCAACATTATAATTTACTACGATATATGACTACAAACAAAAGCTACATAACTGAATAATAAACTATTTATGACTGTATAAAATTCAAAATAGAGAAATACCCATAACCCAGATATTATCATGAACTGGTAATCAAAATACTTATTCTCTCAGATCATGAAAATGAGAAGCAAAATCATAGTGAGCAACAATACCTTAGTAGGTCATAAACTCCAATCTAAAATTTTTAATATTTCTTTTATCAAATGTTTTTAGAATATTTAAATCAAATTAAAAGCAGTATAATATATCACTATACTAAAAATAATAATAAATTATGGCAATTATTCATATTCAAATAATAATACTAATCAGATAATTAAAACTAAAATTCAAATCATAGAATTATTCATATAAGATTTCTGTAATTTAAAATAGAATCTCAAAGGATTGTGACTTTTTATGGCTTCTAAAAGAATTTCCCCCTCTTTCAAACAGTCTCAAATAATGCTTGCCTTTATAACTCCCAACTAATAGATTTTTAAAAGTTTTTCATATTCATATTCAAGATCACAAATAAAATCTCAAAGAATTTTGAGCCATATTGTCTCCCAAAAAAATTTTTTCACATCAAAATTATTCAACATCACCTAATTTACTCATATAAACACAAATTTCATCATATTGCATCAAATAGAACATAGTTGACCTTATTTTATAGTTATACATTTTTTTATAATGATATTTAATAAAAATTTCTATTAAGCAAAAATATACATTTTCAATAACCAAATTGCCATAAATCATGTAGCACACTATTTAAAGATTTTAATTAAACTTCAAAATTAATTTATTGCATCCATATAATTTTCTATTCAATAAAACGTCCACAAATTCTAAAATCTCCGTTGTTAAATTTTTAGAAAATATTCAACATATTCATAATCTTTTTCTCTATAAAATCTAAAAAAGTTATGAGGTGATAAAAATTGCATATTTTTTAAAATTGAGATAAGCATATTGTTACCTATCTGAAGACAAAAAAAATCAACTGGCCCCATAGAAAAAAAATGGCTTTAAGTCACTCAAAATTAGGTATTTTTCTATCTCCACTCTCCTTTCGTGCTCTCTATATTTGGGCAAACGAACATGCAAAGCTTTTTTTTTTTTTTAAATAAGTTTTTAAATGGGATGGGATATTTAAAATAAATTAATATAAGGGTATAAATAAAATCATTTCAATTGTCCAAATTTAAATATAAATTTCATATAAATCTTTTTATATCTTCAAATTCATGAATTCAAAAATTATACAAAAATATTCATAAATTAGTTAAATATGTTCAAAATACTATGATAAATTAATTTGTAAAACAGACACCTAATGATTCTAAAAATTATATTTGTACTAATAAATGTCAATTTCTTATGTAATTGTACCAGTATCAAAAAATTATAAAAAAATAGTAAAAATTTCTGTCCTCTACTAAAAAGAAATTAATTTATTAGGTTTGGACTAATATGATAGGAGATGGGAGAATTTTCACACTCTTTGAGACTTAACTTTCTTTTTCAAAAGTGTTGATTGTTTTCAAAATATTGTATAGCAGTGCAAGCAATAATGGTTAAAGTAGTGCCATATATTTGGTGTGGAGATAATGACCAAGGAAATTTCCTAAAAAACGCATTAACTTTATTTACTTAAGCCAGATGACGGAACGGGGAGACCTAGGATGTAGAAGATCATAACATGAGTGATTCGACAGATTTGGATTCTTATATATCCACTCATGTGGTACTTCATCATACGATTCATATAAGATCCATCTGTCTAGATATAATGAAACGACATCAATTCAAATCCTGGATATTCGAATTGAGAGAGATCAAGAATTCTCACTATTTCTTAGATTCATGGATCAAATTCGAAGAAGGAACCGAGAAGGAGGTATCAGCAACAACTGGTTTTATTGCGGGACAGCTCATGATGTTCATATCGATCTATTATGTGCCTCTGCATCTAGCATTGGGTAGACCTCATACAATAACTGTCCCAATTGCTCAGGACACCCTCTTTTAGCTTCTAGGTCTATTTTTTAGTTCAAGATCCCTTTTACTAACTGGAATAAAAGAATTAGTAGATCTTTTCCACCCAAAATGGGAATGGGGCAGTCCTCTTATGCGGAGCTGGGCCAGTAGCGTGCACGTGTGCTGAAACACTGGAATGAAGTGAAAAAAACTACAAGGTGCGACTTATAGGAGCATTTGATGCAGGAGTTTCTTGTAGTGGTCTAGTAAAGCCTATATCGCTTGTTTTTAGCCTTCATGGTGAATGGCCCACCCTTTCTTTGAACCTTGTCAATGATCGAACTTCAAGATATGAACTGAGTGCCATTTGATGAGTAAGATCGAACAAGGGAGAGGGATATGGAAAGGATGAAGTAATGAAAGAGGAAGTCATTGCTAGTAGTAACGACTTGTCACGATCCATTGGTTCATTTTTTTTAAGAGTTATTTTAGTATTATTTTTGTGCAATTATTCCCATCATTGTCCTTTTTGGTTAAATGATAATATCCATCTGTATATTTCTATCGAATTTTTAGGGAGAATTTTGATTTTATGATGTCATGTGTTGAAATTATTATATTGCTTTCCTTGATCGATTTTCATGATCAAATGATTACAACAACAACAACATCAAATGATTAATTAATAAAATGTTCTAAAATATTTATGGATATAGATAACATTTCTGGCTATCGCAATGAATTTTTTCATGTTAAAATAATCTCATTGGTTAGGTAAAAAATTTATGAACAAGCGTTTTATGCAATCTCTGTTAAAATAAGTTATAATTCTTTTTATTAGGCACTTTCATTGAGGTGTTGATGCTTCGTTAAAAATTTATGAATTTTTCACCAAGTATTTTTTTTCTAAAAAATTGTGGAGTGACTATTAGCTGTAGAGTTATCTAAACTGAGAAATTTATTAAGGTAATTGGCTTGCCAAAAAACAAAACGTGACAGTTGTTGTGTGCAGAAACATTCGCGGCAGCAAAGAGATATAAAGTTTAGCTTTCTAACTCTATACGAAGATGTAACATACAAACAAAAAAGAGAAAGAGGGGTGCAAGAGTTATCACATATATCGAAATTTTTATGTGAAAAAAATTTAAAAAGGGGAAAAATCACATGGCCTTACCCAGTTCAAATGAATCTACTAGTATTTTTTATTGATTACAAATGATGTC